GGGTGGGGCATTAAAACAGTTGTGTATGTGTGTGGGGCATTAAAAACAGTTGTGTGTGTGTGTGGGTGGGGCATTAAAACAGTTGTGTATGTGTGTGGGGCATTAAAAACAGTTGTGTATGTGTGTGGGGCATTAAAACAGTTGTGTGTGTGTGTGTGTGTGTGGGGCATTAAAAACAGTTGTGTGTGTATGTGTGGGGCATTAAAAACAGTTGTGTGTTGTGTGTGGGGCATTAAAACAGTATTGTGTGTGGTGTGTGTGGGGCATTAAAAACAGTTGTGTATGTGTGTGGGGCATTAAAACAGTTGTGTGTGTGTGTGTGTGTGTGTGTGGGGCATTAAAAACAGTTGTGTGTGTGTGTGTGTGGGGCATTAAAACAGTTGTGTATGTGTGTGGGGCATTAAAACAGTTGTGTGTGTGTGTGTGGGGCATTAAAACAGTTGTGTGTGTGTGTGTGTGTGGGGCATTAAAAACAGTTGTGTGTGTATGTGTGGGGCATTAAAAACAGTTGTGTGTGTATGTGTGGGGCATTAAAACAGTTGTGGGTGTATGTGTGGGGCATTAAAAACAGTTGTGTGTGTGTGGGGCATTAAAAACAGTTGTGTGTGTGTGTGTGGGGGGGGGGGCATTAAAACAGTTGTGTATGTGTGTGGGGCCACAAAAGAACGTTCAGAGGAGGCTATATAAAGGCAGTGTCTGGCTCTGGTTAAGGAGGAAGGACAGGAGCTGGGGAAAGAACACCCAAACCCCAATAACAACTGCAGGAAAAACACCTAGCTACAGGGGGTGACACGGGAGACGTCCCTGTCACTGCCCTGCCACCAGGAGACGTTCCAGGATTAAAGGGGCAAAACGTTGAGGAATGGTGGTCCCTGGCTGATGACCCTGTAGCTAACCCTGCAGCCAACTCGTGGGCACTGGAGGAGGGCCCAGCAGGAAATGACATCTACCTGTACTATCTACTGTTTTTATTCCCCAACACATACCAATAATAATAATAATGGCGGTCTCTCAGTTTTGAGAAAGACTCCGCACAGCTCGTCTGCAGCTGCTTCGATTCATGTACGCCATTTTTGACGGTCACCAGCCTGCTGCTGTGCTTCAGGTCAATACAAGAATGACTATAATTTGATTTACGTCAATGACCAAAGATGCAGAGGTCTGGGATTGTGTCTCAGCAGAAATATGTTTTATTGTTGGAACACAGAGAAAACAACACGACCAGAGATCTAGAGCGATCACATGGTTTTATACCAGGACAGAAACACACCTCCGCCCCTGCCACAGAGACATGTTTACTCTGACCGGGAGACGAAAACATCGAGTGGAAAAGTACTGACTGCATAAGATAAGATAAGAATTCCTTTATTCGTCCCACAGTGGGGACATTTCGATGTTGCATCGCACATATAGGAGAGTAGTAAGAGCACACAGGGAGCACACACAATATATACAAATCTGCTCAGTTTATACAAAAATACACACAATACAGAGACCAGAGAGAGACTAGAGAGAGGGACTAGAGAGAGACCAGAGAGAGACCATAGAGAGACAAGAGAGAGACAAGAGAGAGACCAGTGAGAGACCAGAGGGAGAAACCAGAGAGAGACCAGAGAGAGAGACCAGAGAGAGAGACCAGAGAGAGAGAGACCAGAGAGAGACCAGAGAGAGAGACCAGAGAGAGAGACCAGAGAGAGAGACCAGAGAGAGACCAGAGAGAGAGACCAGAGAGAGAGACCAGAGAGAGACCAGAGAGAGACCAGAGAGAGACCAGAGAGAGAGACCAGAGAGAGAGACCAGAGAGAGAGACCAGAGAGAGAGACCAGAGAGAGAGACCAGAGAGAGACCAGAGAGAGAGACCAGAGAGAGAGACCAGAGAGAGGGACCAGAGATAGACCAGAAAGAGAGACCAGAGGGAGAAACCAGAGAGAGACCAGAGAGAGAGACCATAGAGAGAGACCAGTGAGAGACCAGAGGGAGAGACCAGAGAGAGACCAGAGAGAGAGACCAGTGAGAGACCAGAGGGAGAGACCAGAGAGAGACCAGAGAGAGACCAGAGAGAGAGAGACCAGAGGGAGAGACCAGAGAGAGACCAGAGATAGACCAGAGAGAGGCCAGAGAGAGACCAGAGAGAGACCAGAGAGAGAGAGACCAGAGGGAGAGACCAGAGAGAGACCAGAGATAGACCAGAGAGAGGCCAGAGAGAGACCAGAGAGAGACCAGAGAGAGAGAGACCAGAGAGAGAGACCAGAGAGAGAGAGACCAGAGAGAGAGAGACCAGAGAGAGAGTGACCAGAGAGAGACCAGAGAGAGAGAGAGACCAGAGAGAGACAAGAGAGAGACCAGAGAGAGAGGCCAAGAGAGACCAGAGAAAGACCAGAGAGAGACCGGGCCGAGACCAGAAAGGCCAAACCCTTCACTCACATGGCCCAGTGTGCGTTTGGTCTGTGTGAGTGTGAATGATGGAAACAGGTTGTTTTAACCAAAATGTGGCTCGGACACATCTCTACCAGATGTGTTAAAACAACCATAAACACAGTGAACCATAAGTACATTATGTGAGACTTTCAGGTGAAACTCTTTATTTCTGTATTTCAACTTAAAATTTGAAACTGCTTTATAATATAAACTTGGGTTTTTAGGTTGTGTAATTAAAACCTTTTTTCGATATTCTGATTTTCTAAGTTTCACCTGAAGATGTCTTTTCAACATCTATACCATGTAGCGTTCACCAGTGAGTAAACGAAGCGACACCATGTGACTGTTGTTGCTGGTGCACCATCACCTGCACATTCACGTAAAAGCACAAAACACATACATTATACATTTGGCTCAGAGTTTCACCATGTGGACGATTGATGCGGAGGACCAGGAAACAGGAGTTAGTGCAGAAGTCTGTTTGATAGTTTTTTTTTAGTGCTGTAAAACCATCCATAACCGTCAAAATCAACCAAACAAACAGGAATAAAAGCAAAAAGACGGTCATTAAAAGACTTCAACACCTGCCCCACAAGACGTCGTCGATTTTATGTTTAGTTTTGGATTCAATCATTAAATTAAGTCTAGTACAAAAGAGTTATCCTCTCTTATATCCTTATAATATATAGAGTTATCCTCTCTTATTATCCTCTCTATAAACAACTGTCCGCGAGCGGACAGTTGTTTATAATGTCTTTGTGAATTGTCTTATACCTGTATGTCTTGTTTGTATTTTTACGGAGCTGCTGAACTGCAAAACAAATTTCGGATCCTTGTATCTGACAATAAAGCATTTATCTATCTATTTATCTATCTATTTATCTATCTATCCTCTGTGACTTCACTTGTAGACTGTTCATTGCTATTCACCTATTGTCCCATTGTCTGTTTCATGGCGTGGTGATGGGACCCCTGACCCCAACCTCTTCAGCCATCACTGATGACCTGGTCCTCCCCGGCCTGGGTCTACAGCCTCAGTCCTGGATCTACAGCCTCAGTCCTGGATCTACAGCCTCAGTCCTGGGTCTACAGCCTCAGTCCTGGATCTACAGCCTCAGTCCTGGATCTACAGCCTCAGTCCTGGGTCTACAGCCTCAGTCCTGGTCTACAGCCTCAGTCCTGGGTCTACAGCCTCAGTCCTGGATCTACAGCCTCAGTCCTGGATCTACAGCCTCAGTCCTGGGTCTACAGCCTCAGTCCTGGGTCTACAGCCTCAGTCCTGGATCTACAGCCTCAGTCCTGGATCTACAGCCTCAGTCCTGGGTCTACAGCCTCAGTCCTGGGTCTACAGCCTCAGTCCTGGATCTACAGCCTCAGTCCTGGATCTACAGCCTCAGTCCTGGGTCTACAGCCTCAGTCCTGGGTCTACAGCCTCAGTCCTGGATCTACAGCCTCAGTCCTGGGTCTACAGCCTCAGTCCTGTGTCTACAGCCTCAGTCCTAAGGTCTACAGCCTCAGTCCTGGATCTACAGTCTCATGCAACGTTCAGACCAGATCATGCGTTGCGTCGGCTTTCAATGCAAAGTCAATGGTGACGCGCGTTCGAGCGTAAAAACGCACGGACGTCTCGGAATGCACGCACGGACTGCGTGGGAAAGTTGAAGGGAAGGAACGTTGGAGATGAATTTTGCTGAACCTTTCCTCGGGACACTCGAGCAGCGAACAATCAGAGAGCCGCAAAGTGGTCACGGGGACATTGGTGGTCTGAGCGAGCAGACTGAACATACTCATAAACAGCCAAAACAGGACCCACACCAGGACTTAAAACCAGGGTTGACAATGGGGGACTCTGTGCTTGTGAATATGTGCGTTGTCATGCTCCCGTGACTTTATGCAACTGCTTCGAGTGTGTTCGCCGATGCGGAAATACTGTTTAATAATAAAATAAACTTAGTGCGCACCTCCGTGAACACATACTGCTGTTATATAAAGTCCGTGGAAGGTCTCTGAACACAGACACGATGCAAAGATGCATATTGGAGAAGATCTGTACACAAGAAGCCGCTAGCTAAACTCTGTTAGCATCAAAGCCGGTCGGCTACGCGCGCCAGGACGTTCTGGTGTGAAGACCCCTGCGTCTGAAAACTAGAGAATGTGCGTTCCAGCGTTGGCGGTCTGAAAGAAGCCTCAGTCCTGGATCTACAGCCTCAGTCCTGGATCTACAGCCTGTCCTTTGGTGGGAGTGGATCCTTCTCTCCCGATAGGCCTCCCCGAGGTTCACTTTTTTCCCACTGGATTCCTTTTGAATGGTTCTTCTCTGATGCAGGAGGGTCTAAGGACAGTGATGATCTGTGCAGTGGTCTTCCTGCTCCCTATAGACCAATGGCTTCTATGTGTTTGTTTTATAATGTATTTATAAAAATCACAATTGTAAACCGCTTTGTGACTCTGGTCTGTGAAAGGCGGTATATAAATAAAGATTACTTACTTACATATTTGTATTTGATTTTGGGGCGATACAAAAATAAATTCTGACAATCATTACTTCTGACATGGAACTAGACAGTTTGAAGGTTTCACTCTTAGCAGCTGACTTCGTACACATCGATGCTGGCCTTGTTGTGGCCGGGGCAGGTGCAGGCGGGCAGCTCGGGGCAGGCGGGGCAGGTGTGGCATTTGGGCCGTTTTAAGCTGACCATCAGAGCCAGCCCTCCCAGCATCTGCAGGCACGAGCCCAGCCAGCCGAAGTACAGCGAGCCGGCGGGACGCAGGCTGAGCTGGAGGTGCTTGTTGAAGCTGTGCTCGTGCAGCCCCAGCCGGCTCACGGGTGCGGGTAGATATGGACAGAGCGCCAGGAAGGAGGCTGATCCGGATACAGCTATCAGACCCACTGTCCCGCCACCCCCCGCTAGGGCAAGGCAATGCCATGCAGCGGGTACCGCCGTTGCAGGCCTGCACATGCCCGCCCGGCACTGTAAACAGAGTAGGTGAGGGGGGAACCGTGGACCTAGGCCGGACCATCGGCAGTCCGGCGGTAAAGCCCCCTGACACGGGACGGCTGTGCTTCAGCTCGAGGCGGGGGGCCAGCGGATGACAGGCTTCCCACTGGACACTGCGGTGCGGACCTGCAGCTGTGGCGGCGCGGCACCAGGACAGAGCCCCCGGCGGCGGGATAGCCCGTGCGAGCGGGGATCCGGGGTGTGGGTCACGGGGGCCAGCGGAGGGCCCGCTCTCCACGGAGGGCGGGTGGGGGGCGGAGGATATGGGACCAGGGATACGTTACGCCAGAGGAGTAACACTATGCCCAGCACCATGGAGGCCGGGGGCTGCAGTCGCGAGGGCCCGCCATAGAGGCTGCATCATATTACTGGAGGCTGATTTAATTTTTATTGGTGTGGATTCATGGTTTTGGCCGATTCATGTACTTTACACAGCCCCATCAATCGCATAGCTCGGGCCCTGATCGAAATATCGGTTTATTAAGTATATCTTGACTTCTCGCGCATCTTCTACTACGGGGTGGGTGGTGTTAAATGGTTGGTGGGGTGAGTGTGGTGGTTCTGGGGGGATACTGGGGGGTAGTGGAGGGTCATGGCGGCGGCAGGATGGCTGGAAGGGTGGCAGGATTCGGTACTTATTCCTATGGTCACGACATGAGTTATTGGTCACCAAGACGAAGGTGTGGAAGTCTCGTGAGGCCCTCTGCGAGTGGCAATACCCCGGGCCGCCTGGGTGTGGGCTTAGGGTGTCCGCCGCGGGCTCGTCCGGGGCGGCACAGCCGCCCATCACGCCTCCGTGGTGTAGTGGGCCACCATCAACTGCCGGGGGGCATTACCCCGGATCCCCGCCGCCGCGATCTCGGGCTCTAAGCCGCACGTGGGCCCGTCAGGGGGCCAGGGCGACTGCGCTGCGCGGGGTCCGCGCCGATGGGCTGTGGGAGAGCTGTCTGCTGATGGCCCCGGCCCGACTGAACACTGCTGGCCCGGGGCAGGTGGGCGTAGCAGAAGGACCTGCGAGTCCGCGGCCTCATGCCGTGTATATCCCTCACCGCTCTGGGCGGTGCGACGGCAGCGGGGCTGGCGCGGCATCGGTTCCGCTGCGGGAATTGGATCCGAGTTCCCGTGCGGGGGGGTGGGCGGCGACTGGGGGTCTGGTGAGGGGCCTGGGGCCCACCGCCTCCCTGTGCCGCCTGGTCCAGGTACATACACGCACCACGATGATAGCCGCGGGGCTGCACGAGCTCAGCGTTCAACTAAGCTCCGCCCTGCTCAGCCGCCTGTCCCGCCGCTCCGGGACTTCGGTCTGGCGGGGGGCGCGTGCCGGCAATGGCGGGAGGGCGGCGCGGAGGGTCAGCTTAATACGCCCTAATGCCATCAAACCGGCCCCGCCTGCCCCGATGCGGCCCCCGCCTGCTCCTGCCCCGGCCACAACTAGGCCAGCAGCGATGTGGTACGGGAAAATCCTGGCGTCTATAGATGAAACCTTCAAACTGGCTAGGGTCCATGGCGTATAGGGTACGGGGAAGGTGCAGATATGTTATGGTGGTATTCGGGCCCCTTAAGCAAATGTCAGATAGAGTTTGTAAGGGTAAATCTTTATTTATATAACCGCCGTTCACAGACCTGAGGCACAAAGCGGTTAACTAGTGTTGATTTTTGAGTAAACATAGCCATTAGAATATACATTCCCAGTGAACCAGGTCTATGTGGGAGCAAGATAGACCTGCACAGATCATCACGGTCCGTAGATCCCTCCGGCGCAGAGAAGAACCCAGTCAAAAGTATGCCTTGGGAAAAATGTGGTATCCGCGGGGGAGGCCTATCGGGAAGATAGGTCCACTCCCATCCAAAGGACTGGCGGGTGGATCTGGACTGAAGGCGGTAGAGCAGGACGGGGGAGGGCGTCTTTCAGACCGCCAACGCTGGTAATCGGGCACATGTCTCTGTTTTCAGACGCAGGGTCATTCCACACCTGAACGTCCTGGCGCGGCGGAGCCGACCGGCGTTGTGTGGCTAACTAGTGGTTACTGGCGGCTTCTGGTGTACAGAGCTGCTCCAATATGCAGCTGTGGCATCGTGGGCGGTGGCTGAGACGTCCTCGACTTTAGATATAAGCAGGTAGTGTGGTGCACGGAGGTGCGCTCGAGGTGGATGTTTATAGTAGGTTTCTGTATTTGTCCGGCCATCGGCAACACTCGCGAAGCAGGTGCATTATAAGTGCAATCGGGAGCTTGACTTCGCTCAGTTGCACCTATGCTATGAGTGCCCCCAATTTGTCAACCCGGTTTTTAGTCCTGGGTGGTCCGGTTTTGGCTGTTTAGGAGTATGGGTCAGGAGTGCTGCTCGCGCAGTCCACCTAAGGGTCACCGGGGACCTCTTGGCGCTCGCTGAGGGTGCGCGGCCGAGGGTCCCCGAAAGGGGTGGTCATCATAAATTCCATCCTACCAACTCCTGGCCCTGCAACTTGCCAAGCTGGCCTTGGCGGCATTCCCGTGACGTCCGGAACGCGGTTGGATCGCGCGGTAGACGGCGGCGTCACCATATTGATACTGTGCAGGTGATATGCCGAATCGCAACCATGTGCGGGGGCTGAACGTGCTGAGACTAGGGATGATCCAGTCCTGGCAGCTGGGTCATACCGGAGTATCTCCGGAGCGGGTAGGACACCTAGGGGTCTGAGCGGTAGTCCCTGTCGGAGGCTGGAACCGACTGAGGCTGTTGACCAGGATACTGAGGCGGGAGACCCAGGACGGGTGGCGGGTAATCCGATCTGAGGCTGGTGGTCCGGACCGGTGGCGGGAACCCCAGGACTGATGGCTGGAGACCCAGACTGAGGGCTGGTAGATCCCAGGACGGAGGCGTGTAGAGCCAGGTCGGAGGCTGTAACCCCAGGATCAGCTGTAGACCCAGGACTGAGGCGGTAGATCCAGACTGAGGTGTAATGTCCTGGAATGTGGGCTGTAGTCCCCTGGACTGAGCTGTAGATCCGGACGGAGGCGGTATACCCGGACGGAGGCTAGGGTTGATTCCGGGACTGAAGGCTGTAGATAGCCTGGGACGGAGGCGGTAGACCCTGGACTGAGGGCTGTTGAGCCTGACGGGAGGCTGGGTGATCCAGACGGATGGCGTAGGAACCCAGGCCGGTAGATACCATTCATCCAGTGGAGGGCTGATGAGGGGGGGGCAGGGTCCCTGCATCCACGCCATGATACAGACATGACTATAGGTGAATAGCAATGGAACGTCGACCATGTGGAATGTCTCGAGAGAGAGATAGAGAAAACTAGAGTGTTAAATAGATAGGATAATTGCTGTTATTGTGCAGAGACGTAGGATCCGAAAGGGTTTTGCAGTTGCTGCAGCTTCCGTAAAATATACAAACAAGACAGACGGGGATAAGAGATCATTCACAATAGTCATTAGAAAGACGGCCGCTCGGCGGTACAGTGTGTTAGAGAGTGGTTAAATAAGTGGGAGGAAAACTCGATATATTATAAGGATATAAGAGAGGAGAACTCTTTTGGTACAGACGTTTTTTAATGATTGAAGCCAAAACTTAACAGATAATTCGACGCGTCTGGGGGCTAGGGGGGGGGTAAGTGCGGATTATGTCCCGGGGGGTGCCGTCGTATGGCCCTGTTTGGTTTGGGTTGTTTTTGACGGTATGGAGTTGGATGGTAACTGGCACGATAATAAAACCTATGCAAATCATCGTCGTGCTCTATACGCCTGTGTCCGGGTCCTCCGCATCAGCGGCCTCCAGGGGGGAAGACGCGGTGCCAACGGTTGAAGTGGAGGGGTTTTGGGCTGTGACGTGAATGTGCAGGGTGGTGGTGCACTCAGCAACAACTAAGGCACAAAAAATGGTGTCGGCTCTCGGTTATCTCACGGGGGGAACGCTACTTTGGTATTGATGGTGTTGATAAGACATCTTAAGGTAGATAACTTAGAAAAATCAGAAGAATCGAAAAAAAGTTTGTTAATTTCACAATCCTAAAATCCCAAGGTGAGAGGATTAATAGCTAGTTTTCAAAATTTTAAGTGTGAAATTCCAGATAGAAAGAGTTGTCACCTGAAAGTCGCACATAATGTACGGATGGGTTCCTCTGGTGTTTATGGGTGGGTTAACACATCTGGTATGATGGGTCCACGAGCCACAGATTTGGTTGAAAAACAACCTGTTGGTTCCCATCATGCACACGCAACTAAATCAGACCTAAACGCACACGGGGCCATGTGGAGTGAAGGGTTTGGGGCCTTTCGGGGCTATCGGCCCGGGTCCATCTCTCGGGTCTTTCTCTGGGTCTCTCTTGCCGCTCGCGGCTGGGATCGGCTCTGTCTCGCTCGGGCTCTGCTCTCGCGCTTCTCTGCTGCTGGTCACGCTCTCCGGGGGTCTGCTCGCGCTCTGGGGGCCCCCGCGCGCGCGCTGGGCCTCGCGCGGGCGCGCTCGCGCTGGGGCCGCGCGCGGGGCTCGCTCCTGCCTCTCTCGGTCGATCGCTGGGCGCGCTCGGGTCTCGCGTCTCCCTCTGGTCGCCTCTCGCTTGGTCTCTCGCTGGGCGCGCTCTGGGCCGCGCGCTGGGTCTAGTCTCTGGTCTCTCTGCTGGGCAGCTCACTCGGGTCTGCTCTCTACGCTGGGCGTGCCGCTGGTCTCGCTCTGGGCTGCTGCCCTCTGGTCTCGCGACTGGTCTCCTCTCGGGCGCTCCTGGGCTCGTCCCGCGGGGGGCTCGCTCTGGGCCGCTCGATGGGCTCTCCTCTGGTCCCTCTCGGGTGGCATCCTCGGGTCTCTCTTCTGGTCTGTTCCCTGGCCCCTCGCTCGTCTCTCGCTCCTGGTCGCCGCGCTCGGGTCGCCTCTGGGCGCTCTCTCGGGGTCGCTCTCTCTGGTCGCTCGCTCGGGCTCTCTCTCTGGGCTAATGGCGCGCTGGGCTCGCGCTGGTCGCGCTCGGGTCGCTCTCGGTCGACTTGTGGGGGGTGAGTGGGGGTGTGGGCGTGGTGGGGCGTGGTGGGGTAGTTGTGTGTATGATGGCTCTTATGTTGGGGGAGGGGCTGTTTAAGCGGGGTAGTGGGGAGTGGGGGGGGGGGTGGGGTGGGTGGGGGGGGGTGGGGGGGGGGGTGGTTGGGGGGGGGGGGGGGGGGGGTGTGGGGGCGGAGTGGGGTAGTTGGTCTCAACGGCTAAGATAGAGGCCGTGGGTTCGTCGAGAGGCGTGTGGTGGTGGCTCGCGTTAGGGGGGGCAGTTGGTAGCTGTCTGGCAGGCAGAGTCTTTTTAGTGGGATAGAGGGCTTGCTGGGAGGCCTGCGGTAACTGTGGTTGGGTTTTTCTTTGCTCCCGGAAAGATGGATCGGTTGGGGTGGTGCATTCGATCGTTTGGTTGTGGTAGGTTTGTAAGACTTCTGCATTAGTCTTGCTGTTGATGAGGGCAGTCTGGTTTGGGTGTTGTGGGGGTGTGTTCTGTCCTTGGTATGTCGCGCTGGGGCCTCGCTCTGGTCGCCGCTGGGTCCTCGCTGCTCGCGGGTCTCGCTCTCTGGGGCGCTCGCGCGGGCTCTCTCGGTCATCGCTCTCGCTGCTGGGCCTCGCCGCTCGGTCGCGCTCGCGGGGGCGCTCTCCTGGCCATCTCGGGCCCCTCGCTGGCTCTCGCCTGGGGCGCTCACTGGCTCGGCGCGTGTCGCCTCTTGGCCTCGCGTTGGTGCTCTCCGCTGGCTCGCTATTGTGCCCGCGCTCTATGGTCGCGCGCGTCCTCGGTTGTGGGTGGATGTTGGAGAAACGAGCAAAGTTTGGATATGAATTGGTGGGGGCGCCCGGGGTGGCGCGGAGCTGACCTCCTATGTGGTGCGAGTGCATCTTCGATTGTGGCCCCACTGGGGACGAATAAAGGGAATGCTTAGCTTATGCTGATGCTGTCAGGACGTGGGCCACGCGTGGTTTTCGTCAACCCGGTCAATGTTTACTTGGCGCTGGGACTGGGCGAGGGGTGGGTCTGTGCGGTATTAAAATAACCAGGTGACCGGATCTAATCTCTGGGTCGGGGGGTTGTCCCTCGGGTGTTCCAACAATAAAAACATAGGTCAGCTGAGACTCATATCCCCAGAACCGCTGCAGCGTGGTCATAGTGGACGGATATCAAATTTGAGTCAGTCTTGGGTAGGGACCTGAAGGCACTGCAGCTAGGCTGGGGACCGTCAATAAAGGCGTACATGTTGCGAAGCAGGACTGCTGACGAGCTGTGCGGAAAGGCCTGCTCAAAATCTGAGAGACCGCCATTTATGAGATTTGTTGGGTTATGTGTGGGGGTTATGTTAAACTGGTATGATAGGTACAGGGAGATGGTCTTGGCCGGCGGGGCCCTCCTGTCCATGGCCCACGCGTTGGCGGCCAGGGTTTTGCCGATCAGGGTCATCAGCCAGGGGGTCCAACCAGTCCGCTACGGGTGGGCCCCGTTATATCCGGGAACGTCGCCGGGTGGCCTGGGGCAGGGACAGGAACGGCTCCCGGGGAACCCCCGGGAGCTAGGTGTTTTTCAGGGCTGTTGTTATGTGGGGTTTGGGGTGGGCATTGTCCCCCAGCTCCTGTCCTTTGCCTGCCTGAAACCAGAGCCTGACACGGCCTTGATATGTGCCCGCCGCTGAAACGGGGCGTTGTGTGGCCCCTCACACTTACACTACGGTGGGAATGCCCCCCCCGGCCCCTCACTCACACACTCAACTGTTTGGAATGCCCCACTCACACCAAAGGGTTGTTAATGCCCCACACTGCAACCCACATCATGTGTGAATGGGCCCACACATTTACTCAAACATCGAGGGTTTAATGCCCCCCCACACAGACACACACAACTGTTTGTTAAGGCCCCACACACTCCTCACACACTAAATCTGTTTTGAATTGCCCCACACTCACTCACACAACGTTTGAAGGCCCCACACACTGACTCAACGTTTATATGCCCCACTCACACACACACACAACTGTTTTTGAAGGCCCCACACGCACTCACATCACACACACTCAACGGTGTTAAATGCCCCACTCACATACACAACTGTTTTGTAATGCCCCACATCAACTCACTCTATTCGGTGTGAATAGGCCCCCCCTCACAAACATCTACGGGGGGGGTATATGGGGCCCCCATCACAGTCACACACAACTGGTGGTTTAATGCCCCTCTCACTCACTCTACACATCACATCTGTGGTGATATAATGCCCCACACACAGACACAACTGGTTTTATATGCCCCACTACACATACACAACGGGTTTAAAATGCCCCACCCACAATCACACAAACTCATCACAACTGTGGGTTTATGCCGGGTCACTCTCAGTCACATCTGGTTAATGCCCCTCCCACATCTCTCACACACACGTTTTAAATGCGCCCCACTCATACTCTTCGTGATAAATTAAAATCGAAAGAAAATAGTGCATAGGGCATTGGCCTATAGATCTTGTCAAGC